ATCGGATAACACCCATATATGTATGTATAGATGTTTAGCAAAAGTTGTGTTTGAAGCAGCTTTCAGGGTAGGCCACCCGAAATCCTAAACCGTTCCGAAACACTGTGGTACCCATAGTGTCCTTTGTAGTTCCTTTTTTTGGCTTACCCATTGTTCTTAAGGATCCTATTAGGTAACCCCAAACATTACCGGGACTCCCAAGTACTCCTATGGAGCTATGAAGGTCCTTAGTGGAGGCTATGTAGGCCATATCAAGGGTAAGGAGGGGCGTTTAGGTTGGAGTTCAGATAATCCTGCCATGAACAGAAGCGCACCTTTCTGGTGGCCAAGAAACTCAGCAACTTTTGCATGAGCATCCGGGGAATGTCCTCAACCAGCTTATAAGTAAGGCCCAACGAATTCTTCAACCAGGTCTAGGAGATGGTTTGATGAACGTGGTCTCCGGTTCTGCTGCTAATCCGCTGTCCGAAACCATCCTAAACCCTATGCCGAAATCCCAAGCCCAACCCCGCAACCCTAAACCCTACCTCAACCCCAAATCACTTACTTCTTCAAGGACTTATATAATATATAACGAAGCCATAAGTAAAGAGGAGCCCTAGAAGAGTAGGTTGTTTGAGGTCGAGGTAAACCCCCAGCCTGAAGTCCAAACCTGGAAGAAGCCCATAAAGCCTCTGGTCACTGAAAGTTCAGTGCTTATAGGGTTTAGGGTTTAGGGTTTAGGGTTTAGGTATTTAGCCTGCAGAACCTGTAAAGTATAAGTCCGCCGCAACACTCCTACTACCTCCCCAAAGCCCCCAAAACTTTAAACGCATCTGAACCGCAATCTGGGTTCTTGTTAAAGGATTTAATTTAAGTTACCATAATAGGGATCTATAGTAAATAATATGGCTTCCTTATTATGGTAACTTAAATTAAATCCCTTAACAAGAACCCAGCAATTCCCAAGCCCCTGAACCCTGAACCCTCAAGCTTCCACCATACCTCATTTTCGCAGGTTCGGCACTGGAGTTTGGATCCTGGACAGACAAGCCAGGTGCCACTGAAAAAAGGGAGGGACAACAACTTCCTTCGGAGTTCAGGGTTTAGGGTCTAAGGGTTAGGGATACAGTTGACATCATACCCTACCTACATGACCGAACAAACCTAGGTACCCCCCAAGCGGGTAGGGTATAATGCTCTTGGTAGAGTTTATGGGGCTGGAGTCTGTGTTTTCGAAGTCTCCGACTTGCGGTGGAATTGGCAGAGACGAGGCTATTGTTTGAGGGTGGGGTAAGGACTCATTTTTAAGCCGGAGCCGTATCTTCCCCTTACAGTACAGAGTATAGTATCCCACCAAGCCCTATTCTAATCAGGAAGGCCCTTAAACCCCGCTTCCGAGTTCGTGTGACCTTCGGGCTGTGGCTGATGGCTTAAGGGTCAGCATCTTGGTTACCGACACGAAGCAATGCAGCAGTTTGGCCCTGTTGATTGTAAGTTTCGGAAATGGGTTAGAAGGCTAAACCCTAAACCCTACTCCACTTAGACACTGGGCTCGGAAAGTCGGGAACTTCTAAGCCCCAAGCCATCGCGACTTGAAAGCCGACGCTGGGTTCGAATCCAGAAGAAGACCCCGTCACGGTCCTTCCGTGATCCTGATCCCGAAACAGAACATCTCTGTGCTTACGCTGTCTTCGACATGTACTATCTGCAGCACTAAGGAACTATGTATCATTCTATCTACCCTGTCAACCCTGCACCCTTGAACCCTATACGATTCTGATCCGACAGAGTCCACTAGCAGAGAAGCTTGCAGGAATGCGCTGTCGTGACCCCATCCGACGTGCCAGGCGAGACGGAAAGGCCCAGCACTGGCAGTTTGCGTTTAGGGGGGTTTGGGGGGGCTTGGGGGTTAATATGGGGGCCTAAATAATTACCTATACTATTTTGGGGGGGTTCCTTATTACAAATATAGTATAATGGGCTCCAAAACCTTATTCTAATTATTACATGAGGCCCCTACATTAGGGGTTTAGGGTTAAGGGGTTTGGGGGTCAGGGGTTCAGGGTTTAGGGGTTCAGGGGCAGTTGGCCCGAGAACGGTCTCGGCTCGACTCTGCTGGATAGGGGTTGGGGTTTGAGTAGATCCTTTTGCAAGAGTTTGAAAGTGGATTCTGCAGCATTTTAGGGGCTGGTAGATTGAGGGCTTACGGTTTCAAGGTTTGTCCGTCCGACATTGAACTGCTTTAATTATGAGGTATGAAAACAGGGGATGACTGGATTAGTTGAGACAATGAAATCGAGGGCCCACTTGCCGGTTTTGAGTTTGGCAGTGCGATGGTCAGGGAGTCCCCGCAATAGGAGACTCTGAGATTTATTGCAAGCCAACTCCCACGATATCTCCCCTTCCTTTCCCTGACCTGCATGTTCAGACCTCTGTTCGTTGAATGGCATCATTGGAGCGTTCCGCCTAATCGGGGGAGCTTCGAAACACGGACGTGTTTTTGGTTCCTGGCTGTGGGTCTGGGTCATCGGGGCTTCGGTGCCTGGGTTACAATCCATTGCTTTCTTTTGAGCTCAGACGCCGTCTGAGGCCTCCCCCCCCCCTGCAACACAAGGCCGACCTACACCGCCAGCCACCTCGGGGACGTCTTCGTCGTGCAGGTTGGGTCATTGATTAGGGGTACTGGTGAGCATTTTGGGGGTTAGGAAACCCTATAAACCCTCTTGGTAGTTGGGGTTTAGAGCTTGCTGGTACCAGCTTGCTGGTACGGCGTGGGGATTAGTGTTGCAGTTCAGGGTAGAAATTTAGGGAAGTTATTTTGGGGATTCGGATCTAAGGGCAGGGATGTTCCTTACTGTTTAGAGCCTACAGTCCAGGATTTAAGCTTACAAGGCTTAGAACTGGGAATAGGGCCGCTGTCTTGCAAGATGTACAGAAGTACTTACGTTCGGTCCCGTTGGTGTTTGTTGGGGTTTCGGGTCCATGAATAGGTGGGCATAAAAGTCTTCGGCCCCACAAGAGTTTAAGTAGGATTTGGGGTTCGGGTTTTAGGGTTCAGGGTTTCATCCAACCTCCCTGCCATATTTAATGTATTTCGACTCCACAGCCTCTACAGCCCCCCAAGACGTTTCAAGATTTGTAAGCCGTAGACCCCTTACCCTAAGCTTTCAGCCATGGAGGCTGTGTGCAGCCCGAAGCTTCAAACCCCGAATCCCGTGCCGTAGAATCCTGGAGCCTAGAATCCGACACGCAGGGCGCTTCAGGGTTTAGGGGAATCAAGGGTTTGGAGTTCAGGGTTTGCAACTTAGAGTTTAGGGTTTGGAGTTTTGAATTTAGGGTTTAGGCTGTGACTTTAGGGCTTAGAACTAGGGTTGAAGGTTTTGAAGCTTGCAAGTCCCTGCACCTTGCATCCGAAATCATGTGCCCTCAACGGTTCAGATGGCTTGATCGGAATCTAAGTCCTGAGCCCACATCGCTGTTTGGGATGTATAGGTCCAGGTTTCTTTTTCAGGGAGCTGTCCAGGTCTAGGCTGACATTCCGGCTTCAATCAAGATGTTGCTGGTATTCTAGAGCCTCTTCTCCTTATCAGCAACCCTTCCAACCCTAAACCCGAAATCTTAAGCCCTAAACTCTAAAGTGAATGGAAACAGAAGGCAGTACAAGGCTCCAGGGTCTAACTCCGAAGAGGCTTTGCTTCTTGCTCAGCTGCGCAAGTCCTGTATCGGGCAGCTCATGGCAGCGGTTTGCAGACTTCAAATAATATATGTAATTACATAAAATATATATATATATATATATATATATGTAGATGTAGCTATATATAATATCCACCAGAAGTGCTCCAGTTTCTCTACATGCGCCATTCGGTTCTGGATGGTCGACTGCACAGTAATATCAACATGACACATCCTGCACCTTAGCCCGTCCTGCTAAATCCCGGAAACCCCGAACACCACAATGCTGAAGCTAAGAACCCAAAAAGCACGACACTACAAACTCCTTTACAACTCCCAAATCACTAAACGCTAAGTCCCTAAACTAAAATATCTCACCCTTGGCCCGCATGGTGCTTCTGCGACTGGTGGTGCTGCTATGCGTCGCATGGTTCGCGGCCCGCAATCCAGGTCTGTGCTGAATTCTGCAACAGCGGTTTCGGGGTTTCCAATAAAGTGTAAGTACCTGCAAGTAGTAGGGGTTTGAGTGGCAAATAGTAGTCTCTAACTGGCCTCTGGCGTTTAAACCCCAATACCGCTTCGGTCCTTGGGCCCCTAGTGTATGCGAACAGCCCCGTAATCAACCTACGATGTCGTTGAGGCACGGATCCTTCCCCTCAGACCCCATGGCTTGCGCTGTTTTCAAAGGTTTGAGGGGTAGGGTTTAAGGTGTAGAGTTTTTCTTGCAAAAGGTGGGGCATAGGAATGCAAGCCAAGACCAGGCATCAAAGCCCTTCACGCGGCCCTACAGCTGGATTCGGTGCAGACAATGCGTGTTCACCTCAAGCCCCTAGGGGTACGAGTACCAGTAATTAGGTAATATTCCGGAAAGTTTCGTTCAGCTATATTGTGCGATCCTAGGTCCAAGTAGCACCCAGACCCTCCGTAATTCTCTATTAGACGCTCATGAGCCGCGAAGCTCGCCCTCCCCTTATGGTTCCATATACCCCTCAAACCTAAACCCAAAGCCCCTGTCCCATAGGATCCTAAGTACTTACATTGTAGAATGCAGGGTTAGTACATTGGGAACAGTTATTATGATTTGGGGTAGTATCCCTTACAACAATACATAAGACCTAGTATCTTAGGAATAGCTATTATGATTTGGGGTAGGTATCCCTTATAACAATCTACCTAGGACCAAATTTGGGTGTTTGATGGTACAAGTAGGGTGCCAGGAGCACCAAGGATGATGCGAGTCGGCCCGGGAAAGGCTCAGCCCATAACTTCTCGCCTTCTCAGGAGTTTCGGGGTCTCTCATGGTTTAGGGTTTGGGTTTTAGGGTTTTGGGGTTTTGGGTCTGAGGATGAAGTGTTTTCCGGTCCAGGGTTTGGGGTTCTAGAGTGTAAGGACAGTCGGGTGTTCAGGGGAAGGGTGGGGAGCCTAACCCTTAGACCACAAAATCCTAAATCCTAAACGCTCAACCCCTCAAGTCCGAACCCTTAGCCCTTAAACCTTTAAATCCTAGACACTTTACCCCCCCCCCCGCCCCCCACCTCCCCTCCCCCTCCAAAACGAGATCGTGACTTGCTGGGTGTAGGGCGTGTAGAGAAGCGGTCCCAAGCCTATAACTTCTCCTTCTGCTAGTCAAGGTTTTGGCGAAACCCTGAAGCCTAATATGGTAGTAGTACAGGTATATTGTAGTATATTGTATAGTATACTAAGCTCTAGTGGTTTCTTTGAGCCAGCAGTGTGTCGTCCTAGCTTGAAATTCGAAATGCGAAAATGGCACAAATACACCCAGCATTGAACGTTTGTGGGCCAGGCGATTGTGTGGCCTAGAGCTATTGTTGTCTGATAAGGTTGCTTGTCTGTGTGTGTGTGTCTCCCTGCATCTGTCTGTCTGTCACTCTGTCTCTCTCTGTCTCTGTCTGCCTGCCTGCTTGCCTGTTTGTTTGTCTGTCCGTGTGTCCGTCGGTCTGTCTGTCTGTCTGTCTGTCTGTCTGTCTGTCTGTTTGTCTGCGTG